CTATTGTAATTCCACAGTGCTCTATTTTTCATGACTGCTGCATTCCTGTTACCTTTAGTCGTCACGTATATTTCGTGTTCCCTCAGATACTCAGTCCCATTGCTTATCCATACGCCCAAATATTTGTATTTATCTGTTATCTCTAGCGTGACCTCCTGTATCCTAAGCTCACTACCTTCGTTGTCATTGAAAATCATGACTGCTGATTTTTCCTTACTGAATCTAAAATCTAACCTATCTCCCTCATTACCGCAGATGTCTATCAATCTCTGCAAATCTTCCTTGTTGTTGGCCATTAGCACTATATCATCTGCGTACATTAATGCTGGTAGTGCCTGATCAATAAGTTTTCCTTGTTTGACTAAAGAGAGGTTGAAGCCCAGCCCACTTCCTTCTAATTTTGCCTCTAATCCTTGTAGGTACATCATGAATAATAAGGGTGACAGGGGGCACCCCTGCCTAAGCCCCCGTTTTACCTCTGCAGGCTTGGATACCTGTTTTTTCCACTTTATAACTACCTTGTTACCTTTATAGATACCCTTTAAAAGATTAGTGACTACATGTTCCACGCCTAGTGTGTCCAGTATTCCCCACAATTCCTCTTGAACCACGCTATCGTACGCTCCCTTGATATCCAAGAATGCTAGCCACAGGGGCCTGTGTTCCTTTTCTGCTATTTCGATGCACTGCGTCAGTGAGAACAGATTGTCTTTCAACCTCCTGTGTTTCCGAAACCCATTCTGCAGTTCCCCCAGCACCCCCTCATCTTCTGTCCATGCCTGCAGTCTTTCCTTTATAATCTGCATCGCCAGCCTGTAGACCACTGATGTCACTGTTATAGGACGGTAGTTGTTTATGTCAGCTTTGTCCCCCTTCCTTTATAGATAATGCTCATCCAGCTAAGTTTCCATCCATCGGGAACTTCACCATCGATTATTATTTTGCTCACTGCCTCTCTCAAAGCCTGCTTAGACTTCGGACCTAATGTCTTTATCAGCCTAATTGGAATGCCATCTGGGCCTGTTGATGTTCTACTAGGAACCCTTTTCTCAGCCCTTTCCCACTCTCGTTGTGAAAATGGAGCCATTGCACCACTTGATTCGTCCTTGTCTATTGTGGTGCATAAAGTACTTCTTTGTTGAAATTTTTCTGTCACCCTTGTTCTTATATATTCAATAGCTTCGTCCCCTTCTAGCCTGGCACCTTGGGCTGAAGTTATAAAACTCTGCTCTAGGCTCGTCTCATTTCTTAGGGAGTTTAGATGGTTCCAAAATTTCGCAGCTGCCTTTCTATCCTTTTTATGTACTTCTGCCAGCCACTGAGCTCCCTTTCTTCTAATCTTTTCATCGATCAGAAGGGATGCAGCCCTTCTACAGCTTAGAAAGGTTTCCCATTTTCTTTCAACATCATCTGTCGGTTCACCCCGCTGCTTAGCATGTCTGTGTTCCCTAAAGGCTTCCTGACGTTTTGCTATGGCTCTCTTAACTTATTCATCCGACCAACTTTTGGGTTTGTGTCTTTTTTTCCGGGGTGACTTGTTACGCGTCTTAGCAAGCTCTAGCTCAAAGAGTCTAATTAGATTCATGTATGTCCACACTGTCTCATTATCCTCCGTGATTACTTTCTCAATTTGTTTAGTGGCTATTTCAATTTGCCTTTCTGAATAAAAATTTTCCTGTAGTTGCTCATCTTGTCTCCTTCCCACTTTCACTGCTCTTCCAAAACTTAGCTTGATACGTTTGTGATCACTACCCAGACTTCTGGAGCCACCTTCATCTATGTGCATTCCCCTGAGCTTATCATACATCCTATGTGACATCAGTGCATAATCTATCGTCGACTGCAGCCTTCCTACCTCCCATGTTATTTGCCCTTCACACTTCTCGGTACTGTTGCAAATGATCAAATCAAGCCTTTCACACATATCCATGATCATTTTGCCTGTCGGGTCGGTATACCCATCTATATCTTCTATGTGCGCATTCATGTCTCCTAGTATAATTATCTCGCACTCTCTTCCTAACTCCTGAATGTCCTTTGATATACACTCTACCAATGCCTGGTTTTCCTCTCTGGCCTTTGCTCCCGTCCACAAGTACACGAAACCAAGGAGTGTCATTTGACCTGCCACTTTCCCTTTTAGCCATAAATGTTCCTTGCACTCCTGCTTGACCCTTTGCCAGTCTGTACTTTTATGAATGAATGCCCCAATACCACCCCCCTTTCTGCTGCCTTCTGTTCTATTACAATATTCCCACGCGTAGTCCGGATTGTTCGGAGGTTGTTTCATGTCCCTGAGATGTGTTTCTACAAAACTGTATACCATCGGCCTCTCTTCCCATAGCTGTTCTTCTATCTCTTCCCACTTCAGCCTGTTCCTACCACCCTGCATGTTAATATACTCTATGTCTGAATGGGCTCGGCGCTCGTGGCTACGTCTATTCATGCCCCGGACTCTACCTATCTTAGACATTGGTGCCACTTTGGAATCGTATCTGTCCATAACACCTGTCGAAGAGTCTCCCTGGTTGTTTTCCTCGTTACTAGCTATCCTGCACCCCAAAGGGCTCGCTTGCTCCCCAAAAAAGCTACTGCGCGTCCTGCAAGTCGCCAGCCCACCTCATGACCTAGCCGCCCATCGAAGTGAATTCTGTCTCGTTGAAAGCCACCCCACCTATGCACCTCTCTGTTTATTTCCACCATCTCAAAGCCTTTCTCTCGACTCATCCACCATATCTCTTGGTTTGCGTTGTGTTAGGAATTTGCTCTGTCGCGATGGTAGCGGTGGCGAAGAGCGGCGAGCCGTCGAGCGGACTTCGATGAAGCCTTAGCCCGAAGGTGAAACAGGGAGGCAATCCGTTTGGAAAACAGCAACAAAAGTAGCGTTTACTGTAGCAGGTTGTCGTTTTACAGAGCCGGCCAGCACGACAGCGTCGGCTGGGGCAAAATCTCCTAACATGGGGCCGGCTCGGCCTTAAATAGCGTCTTTGGTCCATTCTCTCAGACCAGTTCTCGGGCTCGGAGGGGGAGACGTAGCCATACCCGGAACTGCAAAGTGGTTCGGTGGAGGAAACGACGTTATCCCCGGACTGCACGGTTCTCCTGCACAGAAGGCGGCGCTGGGAGGGGGGGGGGAGACAGTTCGTCGAAACAGGGCTCGATCTTGTGAGACGTGCTCCCGAACGAGGAACATGTCTGTGGCACAACAGCACCCCCGCCGCCAGACAATGCATCCGGAGTTTTGAGCCGTCAGCGCGGCTCGGAAGGAGGGATGCTGGTTGACCATTGGTAGCCGTTCCGCTCTCTCCGCCCGTTGAGAATTCCATAGGCCTGCAGAGGTTCACTGGAACCACGGAGTCGAACACAAAGGCGAACCACTCCGGCCAAAGCAAGCACCCTCCAAATGCTGATCAAATCGCCAGACCAGCAGAAACGAAAATATTTCCTCGAGATTTAACTGAGCTAAAAAAAATAGCATCACGAGCAATGTATCTGAGGAGCAATACATAATGTGTACACTCCTTTACAGTGCATGACACTGCTAAACCAAACAGAATTTTTTTTTCGTGAGCGATTCTCGATTGTGACCCGGGCAGATTAGGGACGATCGAAGCTGCCGAGGTTAACTCAATTTGGCCCTGAATCTACAATTTAGAATACCAAGAACACCCGAGTTACGCACATTGGCGTCTCTTGCAAGCTTCAGACCGCTAAACAAAACAAAGCCATTCGATAAGTCCTAACTCAAAGTGCTCAGCCAATGATCATCCCAACAAAATAAAACGCGCTTGAAAAAGTAAGTGAATAACAATGAAAATCTAACTTGCGCGCGTTAAACAAAACAAAGGGCAAAGTTAACCCACACTGACACGCTTACTAACACGTAATGCCAAACAAAGAACGTATTTTAAACAGGCCTTTTACTCAGCCTTCTCTGTTAAATTAAAACACACTGACTGTTACCTTTTTAAATTTTATGAAAACAAAATAATGAAACAAACATACCAATGCGTGCTTCTCCAATGAGAAGGAAAGTAGAACACAAAACTTCAAACACATTTATTACTGAATGGCTTACGACAAACTAGAAAAACAATTTTCAAAGCTGATTACATTGTCCATTCATAGTAATGGCAAGACGGGGCCCCTCTGAGACGAACTCTGGGGAGTCGTGCACTCCATAGCCTTCGAGGGATCCGGTCTTGACAAAGGCACAACGAACAAAGCTGTTTGCCGAACTCGGTAGCAGCAACTTTTGACATGCATCCGCTTAACTCGAACAAGGGGGCGTCTGCACTGCATCGTTTACGCCACCCCTTCGACCAGCGACCCTTTCGCCACGGTGGGGAACAACCGCTCGTGTTACCGCTCAAGCGCTCCCAACGTTTCCCCACTTGCCTGCATCTACGCGGCATCAGCATTGATGAGGCCAGGCGAAGATCTCGTTGTCTGAATTTTACCGAAAGTCGGTTTTTCTCAGCGCGCTTCCCGCCTAACCTTGAACTCAGTGACAGTCTGAGCTTCAAACATTTCTTAGAGGGCCCTTTCGTGATCCTACGCCTAGCCCTCAAACTGGCGTCTTGACTGATGACGTCATGGACCTTAATAGCGGCTTTAGCGCACTTGGCGCCTGTCGTCTTTTTGGTGTTATGCTTTCGCCGATGCCTCCTTTTGACGGAAAGGCTAGGAATGCGGGCCGCTTCGACACACCTAATTTCAAGTGCGCTGCCTTTGACAGGCACTGCCAAGACTCTAGACTGGTTAGCTAGCATTTCTTCGGGCCCGTTGCTAGCTGTCTCTGCTTGCGACAGAACGGGATTCCCGATGCCATCAAAGCCAACCAACACGCCTAGAGAGCTTTTGATCTGTGAGGGTCTATCGCTGTCGTGGATAGCCCTAATTCTGTGGCCTTCGAAATAGGCCTCATGCTCTCTTTGACGCGATTCATCCTGATCGCGTGCGCTGCGAAGCGGCTCCATCTCCAGTGCTTCCCGATGTACCTCGGCGTCCTTAGCTATGCGATGGGCCTCGGCCCCTAACTCTTTGTGAGGCTCCTCAGTGCCCGGATCTCTCTGACGCACTTCGGTGTCTTTCACCTTGTGACGGGCCTCAACGTCAGATGCCTCGCGACTTTCCTCATCCTGAAGCGCTGCGCGACGGGCCTCCATCGCTTTACTGCGCGCATCGTCCTCCAGCGCTTTACGACGCGCCTCGTCCTCCAGCGCTTTACGACGCGCCTCGTCCTCTCGCTCTTTTCGGCGGGCGTCTACCTTTAGCGCCTTACCACCTGCTTCAGCGCTGTTACTATCGCTCTGACTTCCAGCAGGACTTGAAATGAAAAAATATTTAATCAGAGCATATCTAACATGACTGAAGTCTCCTGCTTCCTCGAAGGGTAAGCAATTCAAAACATGCGCTATCTTGCGTGGCAACAGCGTGGCGAGCTTCTCCCCCCAAAGGTCGCGGCTAACACCAACATTAAAGCAAACAATTTCAAACTCATCAAGAAAATGGGCGATGTTCTCGCCTGCCTGAAAGTTGTGGAGCTGGTGTTTAGCTCGCTCCCATTTAAGGGCTTGAATTTTAAGGTCAAGCTCTCTCATTTTGAGAGCATGCTCTTTCCTTTTGCGACACTCCTCGGCCTTCCGCTTTTGCTCACAAACGAGCTCCCAAAACTCGTCAGCCTCATCAGCAGTCACATTTTCGGCCCGCATCACATCGAGAATCGCTTCCCTTGTTTTAGCGGACCCGGCGGAAATCCCCATGGCTTCACAAATTTCCAGGAGGTCCTGCACCAGGTACTGCTCCATCGCGATCTCGTTCCTCGTGATGCTCTGCTATTGATATTCACCGTACTCTAACGCTAATCTCATGGTCTAGAGCACGTGAATAATAAATTACAACCAACAAAACCCAAAACGCTCTCCTAATATCTGCCTGTGCTAGAGAGGTCTGGCGAAATGAACAGTAAACGTTGGGCACTCACCCAACCAAAGTAGCCGACGATGGTCCAACCCGTGGCTGCCGTCGAACAGTATCAGGCCTTCCGGGATCCGGTCCAACTTGCCGATGTTGAGATCCGGGGTTGCTTGTCCCAGCTTGCCGAACGATGAGAACAGGGGTCTGATCCGGCGTGCCAAACGTAGGATATCGTATCCCGAAGCTGCCAACCACTGTTAGGAATTTGCTCTGTCGCGATGGTAGCGGTGGCGAAGAGCGGCGAGCCGTCGAGCGGACTTCGATGAAGCCTTAGCCCGAAGGTGAAACAGGGAGGCAATCTGTTTGGAAAACAGCAACAAAAGTAGCGTTTACTGTAGCAGGTTGTCGTTTTACAGAGCCGGCCAGCACGACAACGTCGGCTGGGGCAAAATCTCCTAACATGGGGCCGGCTCGGCCTTAAATAGCGTCTTTGGTCCATTCTCTCAGACCAGTTCTCGGGCTCGGAGGGGGAGACGTAGCCATACCCGGAACTGCAAAGTGGTTCGGTGGAGGAAACGATGTTATCCCCGGACTGCACGGTTCTCCTGCACAGAAGGCGGCGCTGGGACGGGGGGGGGGGGGGGAGACAGTTCGTCGAAACAGGGCTCGATCTTGTGAGACGTGCTCCCGAACGAGGAACATGTCTGTGGCACAACAGTTGACAACCGCTCTTTGCAAGTTGCTATCACGCACCGGTGCCTCCGGTATCGTGCATATCACTACCTGTACCTTAGGAGAAGTGGCGCGCATGTCATCGACGCCTTTCGCCAGTGTGGCTGCTAGTCTTGCTGTATCTTCATTTAAGACATCATTTAAACCACCTGAAATTATCACGAGGTTTCGTCTATCAGCTGTAGTTTTGAGTTTTGCGCTCGCTTGACTCATGACTGCTTCCAGCTTGCGTCCTGGGAATGCCCCTACTGCAACCCTCTTGTCACCTCTTACCCTCTCTTTGATGGCTTCTGTGCATCGATTTAAATTCGAGTCCCCGGCGATTATCACATGCTGTGACTTTTCAGCTGGAGCGTCCTGCACCTGGGGGCTACTTGCACCTGTGACGCCGGCTGCTTTCTCCCCTCCCAGCCCCACCACTACCTCGCTGAAGCTGGGCCTTGCGACAGTTGAACCGGCTAAACCTGTTTTTTCCAAACTTGCTTGCTCTTCCTTCTCCACCATTCTGGTTGCCGGTTCTCTACTGTTCTTTCCGTAGACCACTTCTTTGTTCAGCTTCGCTAGTGCTTCCTCGGCGGACTTCAGTCTTTCTCCCATTGCCCTCGTTTTCTCTTGCTCTGTCGCCAACGCAGTCTCGAGCTCATCGATTCTCACCAGCAGTTCACTTTGGGCAACCATCATTTTCTCCATTTTTTCCTCGACCTCACATTGCCTACACTTCGCGTCAGCCTCTTCTCCATCCGCTTCTACGCTTGGGTCCACTTTCAAACCCACTCCACATTCTGAACTTTTTACAGTCTCTTTAGCCATGTCTTTCTGACACCAATTGTCCCTATAATCGATAATTACTAAACTCGAGCCCTGCACTACGAAAAAAAAAGAAAGTCTACTCTACCACAAAAATTTGCGTGTTCAATGTACGCGCGCCTCCCCCACGGGGTGGCAAAAGAAAAAAAACAACAAAAAAATGTCAAACACACACACCCGCACTAACTAATAAACACCTGGTGACTGGCCCCCGAAAAAGCCGTACCATAAAATAAGTGCTACGAAGATTTCAACCGCTGCCTTATATTTATAAAGACAAGCTCAAAACATGCAAAAACACTTATCTGCACAGTCGATCCGGAGCGCTCGAAAAACACGTCCATCCACCATGACAGCCCGAACAGAACCCGAATAGAACATTTGAACATATGAACATATGACAGCCCGAACAGAACGATATGATTATGAGAGACGCCGTATAGTGAACGGCTCCGCAAGTATCGATCACTTGGTGTTTTTTAACGTGCACCTCAATTGAAGTAGACCAGGCCCCTCTTGTTATCTATTCTGACGCTCTAACCAAACATGGGTTATATGGCGAAATGTAGCGAGAACCACTATAGGGGCACGCTAAAGAACCCAAGGTGTCCGAATGTTCCGAAGCCCTCCACTATAGTCTTCGTAATCGTGTCGTGACGTCGACACGTAAAACACTAGCAATCATCATTACCATGCATCACCATCGGCCATCTGTCCTTATAAGGACAGATATATCATCACGTCACGTGCACACGTCTATTTTTCTCCCTTAATATCTACTGGGATGTCGACTATCCTCCGTTAATTCTCTTGTTCACTCTTTTGTCTTCCTGTTATGGTTGCGCTGACATACTTTCTCGTTTCATCGCACACTGCACGTCTTAAATATCTCCTGGAGGGGTTTTTTTTGTTATTCTCCAGGTTCCTGCCCACATGTTAGAAGTAAAAAAATACGAAGTTTCGTACGCCTTTCGCTTTCGTAGCAGCGTTAAGTTGCCTTGACAGCGGTAAGTTGTCGTAAGCTGAGCGTGTTTACCGTATTTGCAGCAGCCCATCTTTAAGCCGATTTCCTTTGCAAAGTACCCTCCCCTGTTAGCCCTTGACCTATAGATTATACTTTTCAACTGATTATATATTCCGCTTCTCTATCACGAACTCTCGCACTGTTACCAGAGGGTCACCTAGCATATATATGTGTCTTTTGCGTGTTCATCTTGAGCCCTACTTTAACGCTTTCTCGAGTTATATAAGTCTTCAACCATTTTTTGCGACTCTTCGCGTTCATTCCTGGAGAGTGCGTCGTCTGCAAATTGGAAATCGCTTTAATATTTATTTCTATTTCTTCCCGACCCATTGACTGAAATAGCTCCTGTAAACATACAGTGAATGGAGGTCCCATTTCAGTCTGTGACTACAGGAAATTTTTTTCTGTATATTCTTACGATGTACTTAATCCTTTGTTTGATTTAAAATAGTGTTTCTGATTGATCCTACCCCTATAAAACGTGGTTGGAATCCTTCAGGACCCCAATGAAAGTTTTTCATTCATCATCCATCCATTCTGATTCTCAATAGCAATGGGGTGGGAATGGGGTTTATATCATATTCGGACGCTTTTCTCGATCAAGATTTCTCCGCTTTTCTTTAGGAGGGGCAGGGTTAGCTGTTAGAAAATTTGTATATATTGGCAACGGAATTCGCGCATGTTTCAAGTACTGCGCAACGCCGACGCCGCGCCTTCAGAAGCGCTTGCATCACTACCGAGTCGAATTCATTACCACGTCTTGTCCTGACGTCATCCTTCTCACTGAACGTATAGACTTAATGCGCATATATTAGGGTACTGACGAAAGTGCGGGAGGGACCGCAAAACTCGTACGTAAAGCACGTATACGGTGACGGGAGAGGAACTCGGAAGGCAATGAGGTTTTCGCCTGCTAGTCAGGCTCACCGCTCAGGTTCTACGAAACACCGCGGGGTCTCGCTATTGTGACGCTTCGTTTACTTTTTCGAACGGCAGCCGTGCTCACGTATAATAGTGTGTCATTGAGCCAAAAAATTCCCGGCGGGAGTGAAGCATAACACTGACACGCACCGGAATAACTTGTTGAGAGAATCCAAGGCTTACCTTACGAGTCCATAGGCGCGTATACGATGCATTTGCGACGCCCTTCCTCGTCTCATAACGACGCCGATTAGCCGCAAGGCAAGCCTCTTTGTTTGGATGCATTAATCAGCATTCCTCAAACAGCTTGCCACTTCGGCATGACGAGGCAGCCGTTTTCCGATTGCGCACGGAGGAGAGGGCTATATGGGATGAGCCACCGCGTATTGTAATAATACACGTATCGGCAAGGGCTTCCAGAACGGGATAAGTCAATAAAACATCCGGTCTGCGCAAGCAACACGCAATATCTGGCTTATAATCTACGCGTGTCGTAGGTAATTACTCGCCCGGCGGGAGACCTATCGGCGAATGCGCCCATTAAATGGCATCGCTTGCTGCGTGGGAAAGCGTTTATACGACGGGCCACGCGCGCCGAGGTTGCGAAGAGTTTCGAGAGCAGTACATATACTACATCTTGTTTTACGCCATAGGGATACGAAGGCTGCTTGTTGCTTTTGTCGTTTGTGCGTCCTTGTATACGAGCCTATAACGCAACGCGAAAGGGAGGTTCATTTTCTATACGAGTTTATACGCAATCGATAC